GTGTCCACAAGTCTGCAGAGAAAGGATGACTTGCAGGAGCAGCAGGGACGTACATTAGGATGGAAGTAAGGTCTTGACCAGAGTCCAAGCTGGCGAATACAAATACTAATAGGAACTTTGAAGGAAAGACATGTGATCCTCATTGACAGTAGATTCAGAAGCTAGAACTCATACAGAAGGAAAATTAAGAGTGAATTTCTAAGAAAATGAGGAAAAGTCACGCACATTCTAGGAAATGGCTTCTCAATCTAACTACTATTGACATCGACAATAGAAATGCTCTGTGAAAGTCTGCCCCACACATTGCAGATTGCTGAATGGCAGCCCTGGCCAATGCCCATGAGACAGAAGGAGCATATGCCTTATTTGTTCACTGCTCCCAACACACACACACACACACACACACACACACACACATACACCCCTCAAGATACAAAATCAAAATTACCTCCAAAGATAGGTAAATGTCCCCTGGATGATAAAATCACACACAGTGAGAACACTAATGCAGAATATTTTGTGTTGTCACACACATTCACAGGGTGGAGGCAAATGAGAAAGTACTGAAAATAGAGGTAAGAGACAGGCAAAAGACCTGCCTCATGCTGTCATCTACAATCACGGGTGAGGGGGTTAAAGTAAGAAACTGTAAAGTGAAATACTTGAAAATCAAATTACTAGCAAAATGTATGTGCAAACAAGATCAGAAAATCAGGAGCTGACAAAGTACGTTAAAATCCATTGTTTCCACTGGCTTTTTAAGATGGAGGATTTGTGTTATGAAAAGTCATTGATGGAATATGAGGCATGATGTTCCTTATGGTTAATATGGGATCTGGGGTAATTATCAGAACACAATTATACAGTTATATCTGCAATTATATTCTCAATTTATTAAAATGGAAACCTATGGTTACTGCAAGAACCTTTTAAAGCTACCTATTAAAAAAAAGAAAAAATGCTACCTTTTGGGGGAGAAATACAATTGAAGAATATGTATTTAAAAAATAGTTGAACATATCAGTTCTTTCAAGAATGCTAGACAACTGAGAATTTGCCAAAAATTACAACTTGAGAACTTATTTGACACGTGTATTCTGTGTTTAAAGAAAGGTACTAATGAAGTACTTTGTTCACATTGAGCAAAAAAACCTCCAAATTTATTGTGCCTCAGGAAAGCATACATTATCATTCTGTCAGGAAGATATATACAGTTACTTTCTATAAAAAATAATTGTTTTACTATGTTGACAAAAATCAGGTATGTTTTTGCCCTTTTATGTTACTGTTTGGTGATTTAGAATTTTTCTCAATGTCTGATTTTGATTAAAATCTATTTTCACATGCTTTTAACAGCTTGAAACTAATTATTATTTAAAATGCAAAGTTTATGCAGCAAATAGAATTATTAATTACTTGGAACTGTGCCTTTACTACAGCTCAAAGTAAACTAAGGAGTTTAGAGTTTCATTATATTATTTATTTTAAATTTGCAGATCTAGACTGAGAAATTTGAAATTATTTTTTCAGGGTAATTGTTCCAAGCAACAGGATAGTCTGATGAGAAGCTACATAAAAGGTAGGAACATAATAAAAATAAATTTATAATTATAGTGCTTTTCAAATCTTATATTGGTACATTTTAGAAACGTATAGAAAGCACTGCACTATGAAGGCAGTGTAGTTCAAAGCAGATGCTTTGAAGCTCAACTTTTGAAGCCTCTGCTTTAGAAGGTGAAGGAAGGGGAACCTGTGTATGGGGAATCTGTATGTATTGCTATATATTGCTGTACATGGGATATTGTGATGAGCTCATGGAAAAACTGGATTTATGCTGGATATATTTTTGCTTAGATTTATCTTATTGAATGAGTTGAAGGAAATTTCCTTTTAGTCTTTGAAAGCTGAACAAAGGAATGTTCTGCATTTCTGTTGACTGACAATAGCTCAGTAGAGCCATGGCAGTAGAAATTTAGCTACTGATCTCTGTTGCTCCCTTTCTCTGTCCCTCTTGTTATTTTTCTTTTCTAAAGGAGTTTGAAATTACACCTTACATTCAAATGCAATAGTATTTTAAAAAGTGAATACACATATATTTGCTGGGATAGTCACACATTTTTATTTCATTGATAGGAAAGTGAAGGTCAAGAGAAAGCAGTTAACCTTTGAAAGAGAAGTACAGGCAAATAAATTGCTTCATCTTACATCTTCTGTTGTCAACTATATACTTCTCCAAATTTCCCTCAATTTTATCTCCATAGACAACAATGGGTCAAATCTGAGAAACTGTATGCATCCATCCTTTCTAGGACTTAGGTGCTAAGTGTTTGGATCTCTCTCTCTCTCTCTCTCTCTCTCTCTCTCTCTCTCTCTCTCTCTCTCTCTCTCTCTCTCTCTCTCTCTCTCTCTCTCTCTCTCTTTCTGCTTTTTCTCATCTTGTCGGTGTCATTCATTCCCCTGTTGCCTGTTCTGAGCTCCTGAAGCACTCTCTGCTACAACTCGATGTCTGTCACTAGCTTTCCATATGTGTAGTAATTTAAACACATTTATCCTTCTATCTAAGACAACCTAGATACCGAAGTACTTAGCTTCAAGGCCTGTCATACAAAAAGGAAAAGCTGAAAGAGAAATTTCTGAAAGAAAAACATAATTCTATAGTAAACTTGTTAAAATGGCATTTGAGGGTATATATAAGGGAGTTGAGGTTTATACACTTAGTGACTAAAATGTATCTTATTTTCTACTTAAATTTATTAGATTGAGTATTTTCAATTCGTTTCTATATAAAAATAATAATTTAACTTGTTTAATTAGTGAATAAAGATAAGTATTTAGCATGATACTACATTATAGACAAAAAATCTGAAAATATCTATTTCCTGGTCTATCACTTGAATAAACCACAGAAACTATAAAATGAACTCAAAACAAATGTGAGAAATCACTTTGTAGATATCAATACGTAATACGACAATTGTTAATTTCCTACTACTTTGTCTGTAACTCTGTATTGTTTGTATCATTCTTATGCTATTTTGTAAATGGATATCTGTTTGTTAATATGTTTTCCTTCTTTTATTTTTAAAATAAATTTTAAAAAATCGGTGTTAAGAAAATAGATATTGCTTCAGAGAATCCATCTATATGGAACTCTGTGTAGTAGCTCAGCATATACTGTACAGATAGGAACTAGTGAATATTTTCCATAGGTTCCACATGTCTATGCTCATTTTAGAGTTTTAGCCAGGCATGGTGGCACAGGTCTGTAATCCCAGCACTCAGGAGGCTGAGGCAGGAGGATCATTGTGAGTTCAAGATCAGCCTGGGCTACAAAGTGAGCTCAAGGCCAGCCTGAAATGCATAGGGAGACCCTGTCTCAAAAAGCCAAAAGTAAGTAAAATAAAGATCTGTATGTAGTGCTTTCATAAGGGAGAGTAGGAAGAATGAAGTTTGACCCATCCACCATATATATGAAGTAAGTGTTTGCAGAGTTCATTGTCCACAGTGACTCAAAATTCTGTACTAGTTTTCTCTGTGAAAGGCACAGGCTCACCAGGCAGCTGAGTGAACTCAATTCACTGTGATTCTTGTTAATACAATCCAATAAATAGTTATTAAGATCTACTCAAAGAGATGTAGACAGAAATATAAAGCACATTCCTTGATTTATAGCATTGATATTCTGCTGGAATTTTTAAAAAAGAAAAGTAGCAGGTGAGCTATCATGTGGAGTATACAATGCAGTGATAACTCAGTTTACCATCTGTTGAATCCTCATTTAGGACTCGGTGAAAGGAGACAGATGAAACTAAGTCAAGTGTCTAGGAAGAACCAAATAAGATGACCAGTAGCTTCTACTGAGACTTCAGTTATTATAGTTTTATATGGTTGTTTCCATACTGAAAGTTTCATACTGTAAAATCCATAAAATTAACCTTCATTCTATGTTCTCAGTCATTTAATCAGTGAGACTTGGAATAAGACTGTTACTTGTTCCTTTCTGCTGAGGTTGCTTAGGTTGTTATGTCTTTAGCTCGATCTTCTTAGTCAATGTATTTCATCCTTAACGTCATCCTTTCCATATTACCAGATCTTTCAAAAAGACAATAATAACTGGATATGATAAAACACGTCGTTTTAAAACTAATGAAAACAGATGGGCATGATGATGCACACATGTAATCCTGGAGCCCAGAGGCTGAAACAGGAAGCTCACCAGGAGTTGAAGGCTTGCCTAGGCTAATTCGTGAATTCAAGGCCAGCCTGAACTAGGGAGACATTGTCTCAAAAACCCAACAAGAAAATCAATGAAAATATATTCTCTCAAAAATACGTTTTCTTAGATGATAAAAGCTGAGCATAATTTTAATACGTGGCATGCCTCCCTTTCCACCCCACGTTGCAATAACTTTTACTGATTTATTTCACTTTATACAAAGGAACCCATGCTGTGACTTATGAAAAACTAAAATAACTAGAATACCTGGAATATGTTTTATTATAAATAAGCAATAGTTTTTCTCATGGGTCATTTTTAAAACCATTTGCTTTTTCATATTGTAAAAGATTTAAAATCTTTCATATGTTCTTTGCTTTATCATACTTTAAAATAGTTAAAATATTTTATGTGTTCTTTTTTCCTCAATGGAGTTAGAAAACAATGTTGCAAACACACACACACACACACACACACACACACACAGCCATTTATATGATGTGGTAAGGTGTAGTTATCATTGCTTTCTATATATAAATTCAAAAACTGTAATTTTGATATATGAGTTACTGAGCAAAATTAATTTAATAAATGAGCTCCTGCATTTAATATGCTGTATGCATTCCATGGCTTTTTGAAGTAAAATTACATTACATAAATAAAAATTCCTCAGGGGTGTTTGTAAAATCGAATTTATATGAGTGGTGATCCCAAAGACCTTCTACTTTCCTTAGTAAACACATAAAGTACGAAAATGAATATCTGCTTTTCATTAAATGCTTACCTTGCCCACATACTGATAATCAGATCCTGTGTACTCCTCCAGTAAGAAAAATTGATTCCACATCCAGCCACGTTTTTGACGATGCAGAATTTTGCCGTCATTCCTTGGTCCACGCATATCTAAAATCTTTCGCTGAGGCTCAGGAGTCCTTCTAAACATTATCTCTGGAGAACATAAACGTGGCAGCCATACCCAAAGTAGAAATAGTCTTAAAAATTGATATATTGTCATAATTTACTTCGGAGCAAATCTCAACGTGGAGAAAGAGCGAGCAGTCCGATTTTACCGGATTGGATTTTACTGTGATTCAGCTGGTTTCCAACATTTCATCAGCGTTTTGTACATCTTTCTACAAGCTTCAAATGAACAACAAACAAACAAACAAAAAAATAAGTCAGTTGACAACATTATGATTCTTACCTGTCAATTTAAATTTAACATGTCAATAATTTACTAGTAATAACAACTGAAATATTTTCTTCTGTTTACATAATGATTGGTTTAGGGAAACATTTTTTGTTCCATAAAATGTCTACAATTTATAAAATACAATTGCGAATAATTTCAACCAATTATAAAGAAAGAACATGATTATACTGTCATTTCTCTTTTGGTACTTCAATGGCTTTGGTAATTATAATTCTTATATAGTGGAAAGATGGATTTTATTTTGCATATAATTTCCTGTGCAATTTAATATAAATTAAAACTTTGAAAACAAAATACTGATTCAAATGAACAACAGAAATCATCCATTACTGGTGAAATGTAATGGTACTGAAGCTTTTTTCTTAATGGCACAGTTTCTTGAAAGTTAATCTTATTCATCGGTCAGAGTAAAATCACAAACAACAAAACACATACAAAGAAGAAACACCTCAACTGACAACCTTGCCTGTCCATTTTTTTGGGTCATGTGTGGAACAACTGAGGATTTCCTTGAGCATAAAGGAGTTCACTACTACAGTGAATCAATTCATAACATAATGCCGCCGAGTGGGCAAGAAGATTGAATCATGCCAGCAGCGGTACTATGGAGTTCACATCTAACCAACATACTGCTGCCACCTTGGTTTAGAAATCCATGAAATCCCAGTCTCTCTGTGTCAGTAACCTACTCAATGTTCTCTACCCCTTTTCCTGCTAGTATTTTCTCAACAAAATCTCCAACACATTTCCATTAAAGTGTAAGATGGATCAAGTCATTTCTCTGCACAGAACACTCCTTTGGCTTCAGATCTCAGTGTGAGTAGAAACCAAAGTCTACTCCAAAACACCACACTGCAGGTCAGAGGACCTGTGCCTCTGTGAACTGTTTCACTTCAGTTCTCCACCTCACTCCTGATCAATCCTTCTCCACCCGCAGGGTCCTTACTTCACTTTGCGACACAGTTCACATGCTTCCTTCCTCAATTCAGACCTTTCTACATGTTTCCTGTACCTGAAATGCTTTTCTTGCTGACAGCCACTTAGATTCCCTCTATTTCATACACTGCATGCATTTCATTCATTTAACATTTGTATATTCTGCCACTCTAATACATTCTCTTGAAGGAAGAAAATTTTAGGCTTTTCTGTTGTTCCATTCATTGAACTTAGAATAAAATCCTGCGTATATTAGATATTTAATAACCAGTATAAAAGAATGAATTGTATGAATTATAAGTCAATGTAAAAAACTGCCATTAATTTTTTATGTTTATACACTCAAGCATTTATAGATAGAAGAGCATGATTTTAATTTATAAATAATTTTAGTTTATTCTCAAATTTTCTTAATGTTAGATTAACTTTATTTTAAAATTGATGTGGAATTTTAAATTTTTCTGAAATAACTTTATTTTATTTCTGAATGGACTTTATTTTACATTTGTTAAAAAAAGAAACAAAAAGATTGAATTGCATTTGTCTTATGCATTAATCCATTCCAAGTACTCTTGGTTTACCTTTCTACTTTCATCTATAATTATTTGGTAGCAATCTGTTTACTTTCTCTTTTATTATTAAAAAGATGGAAAGGTTAATGGGCTTTAGAGATATGATTAATAGTGAAACATTATTTTGCTTGAGTATATTAAATGATAGTGGAGCTCTGAATAGCATGTGAAGTCATACAGCCTGATAGATGTAAACTCTATTAAAATATATAATGTAATACTCTACTTGAAGTTTAGAAATTATCTCATGCACAAAATAATTTTAAATTCCAAAGCACTAACATTGCAGAAACACAAAATGATTAAATTTTTAAGAAGTATAAACATTTCCCAAACTTGTTTTTTGTGCTTTTTGTGCTTTGGAATGTGATACGTAGTATTTCTGAGAAAATTACAGTATTTATAAAAGAAAAGAGTATCTAATTCAGAGTTTTTGCTGTATTTTTAAGAAGTTTTAACATTTATTGAAAGGTCGCCCTTATTTCATATTTTTCTGTTCTTTCTTCTTAAATCATAAGTGACCACATTCTATATCAGTGATCAGTCCTAAAGTAAATATAAAATTTCTAGTAACTTAAAAGACAAAGCACCAGTATTTTGGGAAGGAATAAATGGGACAAATATCTCAAACATTTGTCAATAAATAATTGGAGCTCCACATTATGAATGAGAACATTTTTCCACTATTCTTTCAATTATTTAATAGCAAAATTACTAAAGAACTTTGACATGCAGCATAATCAAAAACAATTACACATATTAAAAATGTATTTTGCATAAAGCTATTCCATAAAAGTGTTTCAAACAAAAACAAGATCCTATAAAAATAGGAAGTTGTATTGAACCATCATTTAATTTGCTCAAAGTAATTTTCCCTGGATATGTTCTACATAGCTGGAAGCCTAAATGTAGATCTTTCAAAACTTTGCACATTTATTATCGAGGCTACAAATGATTACATTAAGTTATGGAACATCTTTGACATTTAACTAAGCAGATCTATGAGATGGTTACTGAAGTGCATTTTGTTCGGTTGCTTTTTCTTCTTGGGTTGCAGCCTATTTTTCCCTTTCAGTATGTTGCAAAACTAATTTAAATGAGCCTTCCTTCATGAAAAAACCTGCAATACCTACTGAAAGGTTTTCTTAGCCTCAATCCTTCTTATTTAAATTATATCCTACAGGGTGTCAGCTAATTAATTTTTCAAAACCCATATCACCATGACTAAAATCAATTAAAATTTCTGAACATGTCTACTACTGTGAAGGTAACATCTGAATTTCCTGTTTCATTACAATATCTTTAATATTTCAAAAAAATTTATCTTATATTACCATATTTCTATTCTTCAACTGCAAACCTAATAAGCTATTTCTTAAGTTTATAAACTACTTTCCCCAAAATGTATAAGTTTCAATATTGTTCAGGTGATTATACTTATTGAATTTTCCTCAGTAGGAAAAACATGCTGAATATATATTATACATATAATATATAAATATATAAAAATTTATATATTTATGTAAATTTATATATACCATATAAATATTGTATATAATCTTTGCGTTAACTAATTGATATTTTTAAACATAGCTTTTTTGAATAGATTGGATTATTTATAAGTAAAATTAAAAGCTTAATTTCACAATATGAAAATATTATAGAAGCGATCCATTGCATTTTTGAAATTATAAGGTATTATAATTGAGAGCAGTCAAATATTTAAAAACAAGATGAAATTAGTGTACATTATTGAAATTAATGAAATTTTGTAATGTAATTTCCAGTTAATAAAATTTTAAGAAATTCATTCCAAACTCATTTTCCTTATTTTAATCTCAAATATAATTGAACATAAAATCACACACAAGTTAAGAACTAATAAACCACCTGTTAGCATTCTGCATTCCCATATTTCTTTGTAATAAGTCTTCCTCAAATTTCAATGTAAATTAAGAATTCCTGGGATAATTCTTAACTAATGTTCTTATTCAGCAGGTCTCAGGGAGGTTACATACCTGTATTTCCAAACCTCCCCAGAGTTAACACCAAGGCAGTGGGACCACATGATTTCAACAGCAAAGCTGTGGGCTTTAGTCAAACCTTAAATCATATTCAAAATGTGTTTATACCTTTTTTGCACTTGTATTTCAGCACCTAAATAAATATTCTACTACAGTGATGCTAAAATAAAATACATGGTGACTGCAGTAGGAAAGTCAGTACAATATTTCAGTATAATCAGTATTTCTAAATCATCTTAATATTTTCTGAATTTTTAAACCCCAAAACTGTGATTAAGTCAGCACCTGTTACAACAATTTATCTCTTGATCATAACATAAACTGTTTTCCTTTATAAGTACATTTTAAAGCATTTGTAGCACTAACTTTATTTCATTTTTGTAATCACAAGGTTTTCATGGTTCCTTTGAAATACTTATCACAAGCATTGCTTCCTCTAAAATCTGTGAAATTTATTACATGAGAGGCCCAAAAAAGCAGATCACAGAATACAATATAATAGGCATTTTGGCAAATCTGATTTACTAATTAAGTCTTCACACATCACAGCTGATCACTTCAGCTACAATCCATCCTCAGCTAATAAAAGTAATTAGTCATTCATCAGTCAATAATTATGTTAATTAGGATCTTAATGTATGAGATTTATTTTAAATTCACCCTGTATAACCGTAATAGAAAATGGTAAAGATTATTGAGACCAAACCCAAGTCAACATGAGTGAATAATTTAAACCCTTTAAAATTTCATACAACAAATATGGTCTAATGAAATTTTAGCAGTGAGAAATAAAGGAACATATTTGTGAGGTGTTTATATGATTAAAATGAGTCAGTGCATACTAAATACTTCCTTTTTATTCAGCTGATGCCATTTTATGCACCTAGCATTTAACAGTATGTGAGATAATTGAATCAAACATTACACTAAGGACTCAAATAAAATGACTCCATATGCTTGATCATATTTTCCAAGAGTTCATTATACATTACCTACTGTGCTCTAATGTCTTGGAAAATATGTAACTGTATGTTGAATATTTATCACTCTATTTTAAGTATTCTGCATATGTAATTCTATTTAGACTGTAAATTCAAATCAGTCTTCTATCTTGCATGCAAAGTTACTACTACAAGGATTCTCTCAAAATTTTCAATAAATGTTTCTTGAATGGTACTGAATATTATTATGCTTTATAAAATATTGCAATAAGGAGAAAACATGCTTCCCTCCACTAAAAATGAAACAAAAAGCAAAAAATATATCAAGGAGCATTTATATCATTTTATGTCTAATTGTATTTGCATTTACCATAACAGAACTTGTATAAACTGCTGTTCCAATATGCAATCAGCATATCTCTGTTGAGTGCAATATTCAGCAAAAACGATTACT